TACTGCTTCAATATCATTGCAAGCTTTGGATCCATTAAAACCCAAATTACTTAAAAACAAATTGTTTTCAATTTATTATTTACTTTAGCAGAAAACTATAGTAGTAGTATTAGTTATGGAAAAAATTTCTAGTTACAAAAAAAGAGTTTCTGCTAGTAGCATGGAGAAAGAGGTGGTGCACCACCTCTTTTTATTAGCTCTTGTCTTTAGCTCCTTGTAACTATCCTCTTTTAAGTCATCCATCATTTTAATTTTACTTCTCACTAGTTTCTTTCTGCCTGTAAGCATTCTTTCCATAACATCATTCCATAAGCCTTTCTCTTGAATCATGTGTCTCATCCAATTAGCTTTTTGTCTCTAATATGCTTCTTTTTTCACCCACTCTTTTTAGGACTTCCTCATTTCTCACCTTTTATCGCTCCATTTGACATTCTCTATTCTTCTATGCATCCATATCTCTAGGACTTCTACTCTCCTAATATATTGTCTCAAAGTCCAAGTTTCAGCACCACAAAGGAAAACCAGTCTTTTTCTCAATTCTAATTTCAGAGGCCCATCCAAAATTGTTTTTTAATTTGCTAAATGCATCTTGCTTTTCCAATTTTCCTCTTAATTTCTTTCCCACTTCTGCACTCAGAGTCAAGCCAAGCACTCAGGTATCTAAACCTGTTCACTTGTTTCACTTTGTCATCATTTATATTGAGGGTCTGTGAGCTTAGATTGGAAAAAATTAACCCATTATCTTTATTTTCCCTAACCTCTATTAAAATTTAATATTTCCTTTACTTATTAATGTAATAAATGACTGTAGTATTAGCTGTATATGTAGTCATACCAATAAAACAAACAGATATTTTTATATCCTATTTTAGTTGTTGCATTTCTCTAAAATTGGTATGAAAATTGAACCATGGATTCATAATCCTTTTCTTTGTGATATAAACTGTATCACAGATGCTGACTTAACCAAAAATGAACTTATTGATCTTAGGACAAAAAACTTACTAAAGTTGGAGTTTAACTCAAAAAGTCTTGGAGAATTCTGGTGTTCCCTAAGAGAAGACTATCCTCGTGTTGTAAAATGAGCTATGGAAGCTTTGCTTCCATTTACAACAATATATCTTTGAGAATCAGTATTTTCAATGAAAACAAAAAGTCAAAATCGATTAGATGTCCAACATGACATGCGTATTGCCTTGTCAAATACCACACCACAATTTGATGTTCTGATTAAAGATAAACAACAACAATCTTCACACTGACATGTCTTTAAAAAAATATAATTTAACTTTAGTTTTCCTATATTTTAAATATGCTGTATTATTATTAATCTGTGAAGAAATAATCATTGTTTTTTATTTTGGTTTCTATATTTCAGTAAAACTGGATTACTTTAAATTTTATTTTGCATTTAAAAACATTTTTCTGAAAAGAGGACTGTGGTCTTCACCTGACTGGCCATGGAAAGGGGTTTATGGAACAAAAAAGGTTAAGAACTCAGTTTATATGGATATGGATATTGAACTTTCTTTCCTTTTCACTGATCCACTTAGCACTTTGGTTTTGTTTACATTAATTTTCATTTCGAAGACTACACTTTCCCTCTCCAGTCCACACAGGATCTTTCTCATTTTACCCTCGCTCGCTGCCAAAATTGCCATGTCATCAGCATATCTTAGGCACTGAATCTGCCTTCCTCTGATTTTAATGCTCCCACTTCCTCTAGATATAACATAATCATTTCTTCCAAGTATATGTTGAAAAGAAGCAGTGATAGGCAACCCTTGCCTACACCCTTTTCAATCTTAACTACCTCATTGTATTGACCATCTACTTTAAGCACCGCAACCAGTCTTCTCCAGGCTTAGATCGGGGAAAAAAATCATTGCAATATATGCATGGACAGTCTTCTTCATCATCATCATGAGAGTTATCAGGAAAATTTTCTTCTTCGAGTAACTTTTTAGTAATGTTTCGTCTCCCTTTCTCTGGCAGAGCTTTGGACTCATTTTTGGATTTAACTGCCTTCATATTAGGAGTAGAAGTTAAAACTAAAGAGGTTTGTCGAGTCACGTGATTCGTTGCAAGTTTTTTTTATGTGAAAGATAATAAGTTTTTAAATAATATGTAGANAACTTTTTAGTAATGTTTCGTCTCCTTTACTCTGGCGGAGCTTTGGACTCATTTTTTGATTTAATTACCTTCATATTAGGAGTAGAAGTTAAAACTAAAGATGTTTGTAGAGTCACGTGATTCGTTGCAATTTTTTTTATGTGAAAGATGATAAGTTTGTAAATAATATGTAAGAAAGGAAATAAAGTTTTATACTAAAATTTCTTTTAAACAATAATGAAAGACTTTTTTTGGAAGCCATTTTTTATAATTAATAAAACGTTAAGAGGTTAAGGTAAGTTCCTTGACTAAGCTCTTATGGACTAAATGACATACCTGTGTCATTACGTCCGTTGTCTGTGTATATCGTTTTGTCCATATCACGTTATAAAAAAAACAAAATTATAAAATAAATACAAAGATGTTATTTTTAATGAAAAAAGTTATTTAGGTGCAACAACAAATTCTTGGGGGGGTTGAAATAAATGCTACAGAAATAGATAAAATAGTGAAAAACTTACCATCTATACAAAAAACTTGTTACAAGGAAAAAACTCGTAACGTATCAACGCTTGTCTTCGGCCATGACACCCGGGCGAATGAGAGGAGTGCGTTCACGTTTTGACAGATTAGTAAAAGCCGCTCGGATAACGTGGTGTCGTGGTCAGTTGCGCGCTTGAGACCGCCAAATCCGAATTATGTTGCTTATGTCATTTTGTACGTATTTCCCCTATATCTATTCGATCTTATACATTTTATATGTCGTTAAACAAAGCAACATCTACAATAATACATTCTACAATATTTATTCAAATTTATATTCTAGAAAAGAATTTTAAAAATGGATGTATATTGTCACTTTTCTTCACTTTTTGTTTTAAGTAAGAAGGGCACATATAACACAAGTGTTTCGCATAAAAATAACAGAGCCAAAGTGATGTGTATTGGATAAAATATTCCTACGTCTTCTGCATGTCCTGAAATATCATTATACAATGTTTGGTTGCATTTGGACTGCTAAATAGCAGTTAAAACTAATCAAAGTTATTAAACAGCTCTATCCATTGTTAAATTTAATTACGATTAACATTTAAAGTCAATATTGTTACGAAGCTTTTTATAACGAAACAATACTGTAAATTCGACAATAATTTTCCGTACATTATTTACAACATATCACATATTTAAGATTTACTTGCGATAAATGGATCGGATTACAGTATTTTGCATTGACAAACAACACATCCATTTCTCAAAATACGTTCTGTGTAAATATAGTGAGAGAATAAAAGTGATGCTACGTTTTTATTCAAACACAACATCAGTCTTCCTTTACTTACCATATTCGTTGGATGTTTTGCAACAAATTAAAGAGTAAGTTTCTGTAATTATCTTTTAAATATTAACATTGACATTCTAATTTGCATCAATAATGTTTTCTGCTATAATGATAATTACCATCAGTTTTAAATCAGTAGTTAATATAGAAGTTCTACTTATAGTTTTATTTTAATCGCATTTTCTGTATACAGATATCTGGAAGAAAGACAAGAAACCATAAAATCAATGCAAAATGCGATGGACGTGTTCTGCGTAAGCAATCGATTAGGCCTAAGTAATTTAAGAAAAATATGTCGAGATTTTATGACCGATCCGTCAAGAGTTAAGAACGTGTGTTATGTATATGACTTAGCATGTCAACAAGACGATTGGAAATTACAATATTTGTGCTGGAATATTTTTAATTCGAAATGGCATGAAATTTTCTCATCGAATGAATGGCTGAACTGTGAAGCAACAACCATGGATAGACTCGTTCGTAGACCAATAAATTCATTTATTGACGAAACAGACATCTTCACAGTAGTTTTAGAATGGGCCAAGAAAAGAGTTAATAATGAAAAATCTCTAAGACAAGTCATGAAACCTTTCCTTCCATACATACGATTTCTGACAATGCCAGAATGGTTTCTGGAATCTCAAGTGTTCGTTAAACCGATCTTAATGGACGTAGAGAGAGTGCAATAAGATGTTACTTGCAAAATAAGGATTTCGACGAGACATGGTTTATTCCTAACAGTATTTGTGACATTACATGTCCTAGAAAACACGAATTACTCTCATCCTGGTTCTCTTGTGTGAATCGAAGTGCATACTTTATTAACGCAACAAAGAAACTGAATACAAATATTCGATTTATATGCGACATAGTTGCTAAGGAAGATTGTTTTATCACCAAATTGTATCTTCCTATAACACATTGCATTAAAGAAGGTATAACTGTAATCTTGAATTTTTCTGCTAACTTGAATTTACGGACAAAATATCGTTTGAGAACAGCATGTAATACGAAAGGATGTATTTTATTGAATGATGTTTCTTTACTGATTCGAAAGTTTACATTTTATCGATTGATTGCTAAAATTGCAGAGACACGTCATTGCAAAAAATAACATAAGAATCAGTCCCTCGGCAAATTACTACAATCCGTTCGAAGGAATTCAATGTCTTAAAGATTTGCAGTTTGAATCCGAATTGAAAGATGAATTTGAGTACTTCTACTTCGATGTTATGCCCTACTTTTAAATACGGATACACAAATTAATTTTCCTCTATATTATATAATGTTAATCTCGTAATATTAAAAAATTTATGCGTTTTAATTTCGATTAATTAAATTTAACTTTTACTGTCGAAGTTTTTTGAGTTATTTGTCAAGACTACACGTGAATGCGCCACGTCAGGGTGACAACACTCTGTCTTTAAAGACACAGAAATCGCGATAGTAAACGTTCACGCGAGAGCGGTCACTTTCGTAGGCGGTCATACGGTATGAAGGCGGTTGAAGACAAGGTCTTAGTTGAAGAGACTTAAAGAAGTTCACCCAGTCAAGGATCAATATAAATATAATTACCCGTTTGTATCATAAAATACTATTTACAGAGAAAAATCATACAAGTTATTTAGGATTTATAAGGGATTTTTTACATTATAACTATTGGCTATCGTTTCTGTATATTATAACTAAGAGCTATTGTAATTATCTGAGTGAGTCCTAGTCCCAAGAGAGAAAGAGTTTGCATAGATTTGTGGGTAGATAAATACCTTGTAGCAGGACCCGCTCTAGCGGTTACGTCGCCTCGGACAAAAAGACAAATTNTTGTCCGGGCAAAGGATAAGAACAAACATTAAAATTATTAGATTGTTCCGTACTTCTGACCCTTCTATCTTAACATATTGTAGTATTTGATTTATATAACTACAAAGGATATCTTACGTAAGGGTTCATCGCACTGAGTGTCCAATCTAACAGATTTTAAAAATTCTTTAAGTTCTTTAATTTTCCTATTCGATTTGAAAAAAAAACTAGACCTATAAATTTCAACTGTCGTATATCCGTCTCTGTCCTTTTTCAATCTGGAGAACGGAGTTAGATAGATAATCGACAGGATTCTATTGCTAACAGGAAAAGTTTGATGGACAGGGGCAAGACACGATTTAAAGAATTGAGAACATCGTGACAAAAACTTGCAGTCCAGCATTTTGACGATGTCACAATAAATAATCGCTTGTTAGTATTAGTTTGGTTTATTTGGTTACGGCAACGCGATATGCGAGAGATCTGCCGAGGAGAATGCATCCCAGGAAAACTTTTATGGAAAGCTGGACCCTATTTAGGTGAAGAAAACCCGGAAAACTGCACGTGGCCAGCCCGTTGACCATGCAGGAACCCAGGACTAACTAACTATCAGAGTTCGATGGTTTTATGCACTCGGCTACTGGAGGGCGCTTATTAGAATTAAGAAAGTAGCAATCAAAAAGGGGCCGTCCATAAATTACGTAAGGGCGATTTCGGCCATATTCTAGACCCCCCACCCACCCCTGTGTAAGAAACTGTAATATTTTCTTTGATCGCCCCTCCCCTTCCCTATCTTACGTAATATTTTGGCATGATTTTATAGAAAGATTTTAACCAAAAAACTTTTTTTATAAACCCTAAAAACCTTAGGTTCAAAACATATAATTATTAATTAGTTAATTAATATGTACTATTATTTATAAAAGACTTTAGGTGATCAAATTTAAAAATATAAGAATTTAATAAATTCGAATGAAAAATTTATTTTAAGAACTTTATTTTTTAATTATTAACAATATTACTATTATTATTATTATCGTTAATCAACGTCAAAATATTTATTTTTATATTAATTTCAATTTTCACAAAAGACGCAAAAAACTTTGCCAGATCGACTAGTTAGTGCACGTGTAAACAG